TTATTTAGCAAATAAAAATGACATTTTATTCTAGTCAGGTGCTGAGCAAATGATGTTTTTGTACTATCCAATACTTTTAATGCTACAAAAGAACGGTACATGCTTATTTAAAAAAGAACATATCAATGATGGTAATGGTAGTGGTAATGGTAATGGTAAAACATTCATGATGAGGCAATGGTATGGTAAATGGTAACGAAAAAGTCATGGTAACAGGGCTCTACTCTGAGAATCGCCTGAAAGTAGCATTTATCACAAGAGAATGGAATCTAAACAAAAAGAATTTATCTATACCGTTTGAATGAGAATGTTTAATATGATCGAACTCGTTCGAATTAATTAATGAGCACTCCAAAATACACAAAAAACTGGAAAATTTTCTGACTAAATTCATGGTGGTAATGTACCAACATCTATCTCTAATAATTCTGAGTATTTTTTAAACGATGATTCAAACGAACTGTTAATTTATTTCACGATAATATCTGATGGGGTTCTGTCTTTATGATGTATTGTTGCTATACCACTGTTCGCTCAAATTTTAGCAGACACTGGATCCGCTCAGAATCACAGAATATATGGATAGTTGTAGTTGATGACAGCATTTCCTCTACTTACGAGGGAATCTTTTCAGATGTCAACCTCCGATTTCAAGGATCTTTTGCCCATGGATCCTATATAGTGACCTAGCAAAAACTCTAAAAGGATTTAGGCCTCTATTGCTTCATTCTAAAGTTATGAATTTTTCTATTGCCCATACAGTGCATTATATAAAACATTGAAAAAAGGACTGCCACAGGAAAAATGTTCAGTCCTTCACACTGTGTTTTCACTGAGTTATGAATTTTTCAATATTTTATGTAGTGCACTGTCTATATCGGCAAAATAGAAAAACTCATAGCTTTAGAATGAAGAAATAGGGCCCAAATCCTTTTAGGGTTTTTGCTAGGTCACTATATAGGATCTATGGGCAAAAGATCCTTGAAATCGGAGATTGACATCTGAAAAGGTTCCCTCGTTAGCCAGACAGAAGTATTCGTTACCTTCTTTTTCTATTTTTCGTTCATAGACAACACAACATTGACCAAGGAACAAAAGCAACTTCTAACAAAATCAACCTTGTTACATAGTTACGATTCATAGTTCAAATTAATTAGTTGCATAATAATTTTTTTCTAGTATTTTTTTTTTAATTAATACAACCGTCGCTGATGACTGCACTATCTCCGACAACATGCAACACTATTCTAGATGAGCGTAGAAAACTGAAAATTTTATTCAAGTCTTCAGAGAAATCCCCACGTCACTTCGAACGATGGAAACACGCGTTACTAGTTCAATTTACTCCGTACAATATACATCCAAGTAGGAAACATTCATATTTAGAGCAATGTTGTGATTTATCCAGAACAGCGAGTTCTTCTGTAATTTTTGTATAGAACATCCTTCTCACTATCATGGGCATTGGTGTACTTTTTCCGGTAAAAAGCAATTTCGGAACGCTCCATGTTTGGATGAATTTTGCGAAAAAGTAGCGGTATTACGAGAAGGTTTAGAAAAGGTAATTTTCTTAAAGGTACGTTTCTGTTCATCTTTGACGAATTGGTCTTTATTGAAAGTTATACAGAGAACATTAATAGTCATGATTAGTAGTTGATAAATACACATCTTAGTTTCCACAATTTTTATACCTTGTTTAACAAGAAATTATTGATCTGTTTGTTCGCTTTACATTTTAGAGTGATCCACTAAATTTGATGACTCTTTTAGAGACAATATGCTCGGCTACCAAGGGTAAGGAGAATCGTAATCACAATCCTGTCTGCTTCGTTAGCGTTCACTTTTATAACTCAAAATCGTAGGTAAAACAAAAAATAATTTTATTAATGAAATGTTACACAACGAAGGGCGAAGATTTTATTCCATATGCAAAGAAGACGATGAAGACGTTTACGTTATAGGTAATTTTGCTGCACATCCAGTTACTGCGCACATACTGTACTTTTTCTGCTCTATAAGGCGGTTTTTGCATTGAGAAATATCAAAATTCATTTCAATTTATTCAACCTCAACATGAATGGAAAGCGGTAAAAAGCAATAAAGGAAAAATACCAGCATTACCCGAACCATTAGGTCATGTTGGATGTACAATGAATAAAACACATATTATTGTTGTTGGCGGAGTTAATCGAGACATGCAAATGCAGGTATAGTTTTCAAGTTTAACCTATTTTATTTTAAATGAATTGACTTTTACTTGTAGATTTTAGAATCACTGTTACACATTTGACAAGCGAACAGTGCAATGGACACGTATTGCCAATATTTTTGATAAATATGCTCTACCAAGTTTAGCAATAACGTCGGATGGTGAAATAATTTATGCAATAGGCGGTCTTGATATGTTAGCTACCGTACCAACGGCAAGTGAAGCCGTATTTAAATATGAAAAGTCAAAAAATAGGTGAAACTTTTAAAAAAAAGTTTAAAAACTTTTATGAATATATTCATATCATTTAGATGGCAAGAGTTAACACCACTTCCAAAAGGACGATTGCTCTCTATAATAGTTCTGATTCAAAAAATGGTATTGTGTATTGGAGGGTTAACCTTGTTGAATGGTGTTCCCTACTCGTTACCAGAAATTCAGTCTTTTGATGGCAATAAATGGTATTTAGCGTTTTGTTTAAATGAATTTGATTCAACGTGGGAATTGAATAAAACAGGTAGCTAACTTATAATGGTTTTCTAAAGTTCAACG